CCACGCCTCCTCCCTCCATCACCACGCCTCCTTCCACCATCACCACGCCTCCTCCCTCCATCACCACGCCTCCTTCTACCATCACCACGCCTCCCACCTCTATCACCACGCCTCCTCCCGCCATCACCACGCCTCCTCCCACCATCACCACGCCTCCCACCTCCATCACCACGCCTCCTCCCTCCATCACCACGCCTCCTTCTACCATCACCACGCCTCCTCCCTCCATCACCACGCCTCCTTCTACCATCACCACGCCTCCCACCTCTATCACCACGCCTCCTCCCGCCATCACCACGCCTCCTCCTACCATCACCACGCCTCCTCCCTCCATCACCACGCCTCCTCCCTCCATCACCACGCCTCCTCCCTCCATCACCACGCCTCCTCCTACCATCACCACGCCTCCTCCCTCCATCACCACGCCTCCTCCCACGCCTCCTCCTACCATCACCACGCCTCCTCCCTCCATCACCACGCCTCCTCCTACCATCACCACGCCGCCTCCCTCCCATCCAAGCTCCACATCGCCACTCCTGCCGACTTTTCCGTTCTTTTACGCATGGTGGCAGCATCGTTATTCATAATAAAGGTTTTTGGGTTAGATCGCGTTATTTATAAATGTGTCGTAAGCATCGTTATTGTTATTCTTGGTTCTTTCGGTAAGTCACGTAGAAGGGAAACAATAAAATATATTTTTATTATTTTATTGTTTCCCTTCTACGAAAGCTTTAAATGAAAATTCATAGTTATTGTTGTTTGAGGAGCTCGATTTTAATCTCGGCGGTCTATCTCGCCACGGCGAGATGGCCTCGCGTTTGAGTGGAATCTAGAAATTACTCTCCGTGCGAAGAAGCGCAGACTACTGTGGTAGGGTCAACCAGCACACTGCCGTGGCTAGCCATTTAACTTTCCATTTTCTGTTGATGTTCTGAGGGGGCGTCCATAAATGACGTCACGCGATTTTGGACGATTTTTAACCCCCACCCCCTCGTCACGCGGCGTCACAAAAAGTCAGACCCCCCCCCCCTCAAATATGACGTCACAAAGCTCTGCCCCCCCCCCCCCCACCAAAAAATATAAAAAATGCTTCAAATCGCTTTAAACTATTGTCATTGTAGTGCGTATTTAATGTGGCTTGCACTCTGATGTTGTAGGAGAAAACATTTATTAAAAAGTCTATTTAATTCAGTAGAACGTGTTGTCTATATTTATTTAAAGTTGCGCATTTTGATGTGACGTCACATTTGTCTCAAACCCCCCTCCTCGTCACACATCGTCACAAATGTCTGACCCCCTATGCGTGACGTCATTTATGGACGGCCCCTGATGCGGTTGATGGTTGCATCAGTCTTCGATGCAACACTATCGCACCATCCTGTACTTTGCACACAGCTTGCGGAAGCAACGCTTCTTTAAACTTGGTGCAACGGCGGTGCCCTTTGAAGAAGAGGCGACGATGTTTCATGCAGTGTCTGTGGGTATATTCCATCCGTTTTAAATAAATTATACGAGTATTGTAGTTACACACCTCCTAAGCCCTGTCCCAGAATGTCCAACACGGGTTTGAAGATTCGCTTGTGGAAAAAGCGTTTTTACTCGTGGTCAGCTCTGCTGTGGGTGCAGTGTGTAGCACCAACGTGGACTTTACATCAGGCACGAATACACGAGGCAGGCCACGCTTATATGCAGGCCTGGCAATTTACGTTTGTTTAACCAGGCGAGGTAACTCAAGAGCCCCAGGATTAGTCTAATTTGCAAGAATGACTTGGGGAGGTGGGGGGGGGCATTAGTCTACCAGTCGATCATTGCTACTGCATCTAATCCATGTTGAATAATCATTTGCGGGTAATTTTCGGATTTGGCAGTCGGTGGATTGCAGGTGGATTTAGGGTCTGAGCAGGAGCCCAAGGCGAGATGGGCAGTAAAGGGGTACAAATGAGACCAGTCCTTGAATCAATGAACGCAAAGTAGCAATATGATCGCCGCATTCAACATGAGTATGGGTGACCTTGCGATCAATATCCGAGTGTCTAAGTCGCGCACCACCAAAGCCTGCAATGACCCTCGCAGGCAAATGTTGTCTCCGAATGGAATTGTCTTCCGCCTTGAGTTGTGGGACTGATGAGTGATAGAAGTGGCGACGAGGTGAGCTCGTGTTCATTAGCACGGGAGGCATTCATCAACAATTAAATCCTCATCGTTATCAGCCACGATCGATCCACTGCTGGATGAAGGCCTTCCCAAGCGCATCGCCATCTCTTGTGTGATGCAGGGAGGTGATGTCACGTCTCCGTCTCCTGGCACACAACGAATTGGGCTGCCACTCTACTGTTACCGTCGACCTGCCGGCCACAATCCCATCCTAGGCCCCTACTTATTTGTGTGAAGTCGTATTTGTCTGCCGAGGTTAACTAGAGACTATTTTTGCACCCAGTAGGAGTTCAGGTGAAGGTATAGTTTACTGGTGGAAGGCTGCTTTTTGACAAGGATGAACAGGATTGTCCACCATGGCCTGTTGGGTGGCTTAGAGTGACCTGATCTGAAATTAGGTCAACATGGCGAACCACTTCGAGCGGTGGTGCATGGAGTTTCTTGACAGTAGCTGAAGATGTTTACCCACAACTGTGTTCCTGTAAGTTACTTCATAAGCAACTTTATAAGGGAATTAAGGTGACTGGACACTGATGCGTATCGGTACGTTGTAGTCGGTTGACACGGTTACAGCACCTTTTGTCGAGATGGTTAACTGGTGTCTACGGTTGAGTCCGTGACCACGTGGCCGTGGCGAACGGTCAGCTGGAATGAGTCTTCCCGTGGCATCGGCTGACTTGTGGTTGTCGACGGGAGGCACACTGTTGTACTAAATACTCGATTGGTGGTCTCTTAAGAATTGCGAGTGTAGAGAATGCAACATGAACAGAGCGAGTAGGTACTACTGTCACCACAAGTAGTTTATAGCTGTGCTGTATATGAGCTGAATGCTGAATCTGACTGTCCTGCTCACAGCTGATGACAAATTGCCAATTGGGTGAAGCTTGACAACTGCACTCGAAGCAGACTCCAATCGTAATGCGTAGTTGTGGAGAATATAAATAAATAACCATACATGTCTCCACTTATCCGTCCCTCCACATAAAATCAATCTTAAGAATTTTATTAGGCGACCCTCAGCCGCATGCCCTTCCAGAAGTGCATAATTTCAGCCGCGTTATTTCAAGACAACCAAACTGTGGACCGGTTTAATTCTAGTAAGCCTGAATCTGCCGATGAGACACTTTATTCAAACCGGTCCAAAATTTACTTCTCTTGAAGCAATGCTCGCTATATTTATGGACTACCAGAAGGCTGTGGGGCCCCGATGGGAGTTGATGGAGAAAATACTTTTCTTTTTAATGTGGAGACATTCAAGCAACCCATGAACTGTCCGGTGCAATCCCTGCAGCTTGGCGTGAGCCACAAGTTTCACCACTGTGGTGAGTGAGGTTCATTGTTGGGAGACACGTGCATAATGCCAAACTTCAAGAGCCCTGAACTGAGTACACCCCATGGCAAAGGCAGCAATAATGCCGGTGATATTTTCTCAGGGCCAGCGTGTGTCGCCTAGACTAGGGGTCGGCAGCCGGTTTTTTTTCGAATTCGGTAAAAAAAATAAACCTCAATATTTTAGGAGCCGCAACGGACTGTGGTGAATACGGGACGGTGGGTCCTTAATAAATCACTGTCACCAAGCAGTCCTATCAAGAGCCGCACGCGGCTCCAGAGCCGCAGGCTGAACCCCCTGGACTGTAGACGTAGGGCTGCCGCGATCTAATTTTACACGATATAAAATTTCACACTTGGACGACAATCGCGGTCTCATTTTTTTCTAAACTTTTATGCCATTGCTTTCGTACTTTGCTTTCTGATCTGAATAAACAGTGCATACGTTATTCAGCTGCAGTCGACTCCATATAAGCCCTACTACGTGAGCAGTTCTCCTGCTGTGTTTGTTTCACCTGATGACGGTTGCTTGTGTTGCGATCGAAACGTCGTGATCTATTAATTTTCTACCTACGTTGACTTCACCGAAAGAACCAAAGAGTATGGATTCCTGCAGTCACGAAGGCTTCAAATCAAGATTCCATATAAGTTCATCATGCGTCTTCTCATCATTGCAAATTTACAATCTCTGAAGCTTACAAATAGCATGCTGTGAGTTACATTAAACATAACTATACAAAATGATTACGACGTATAATTACTCCGGAAATACTTGTACACATAATTTAATGGGTAACAGCTATTGACAATTTTAATTACTGATAAAAAGTTATATCGTATATATAATATATTTAAATCGTGAGGCTCGGCTCCGCATCGAATAACGAGGCCGGCTGGAGATGTCTCTCCGAGGAGGGACGAGGGACAGGCGGTAGCTAAACAGTGGAATCAAATACTCTGGTTCCTTAATGTATATTAAATTACCTTCTCCCAAAAACAGAATACAAAACACAGTGCAAGCAGATGAGGTAATTTTTTTCTGTTTGCCATTGATGTGCAACTTTGCTGATCGTCAACTTTGTGAGTCATGAGTGGTCCACAGTGCCGTGTTGTAGGGAGCTTATCTCTGTCTTTGTGTGTAGCGTGTGGTCTATAGTGCCGTGTTGCAGTGAGCTTTGTGTGTAGAGTGTGGTCTATAGTGCAGTGTTGCAGTGAGCTTTGTGTGTAGCGTGTGGTCTATAGTGCCGTGGTGTAGCGAGCTTTGTGTGTAACGTGTGGTCTATAGTGCAGTGTTGGAGTGAGCTTTGTGTGTAGCGTGTGGTCTATAGTGCAGTGTTGGAGTGAGCTTTGTGTGTAGCGTGTGGTCTATAGTGCCGTGGTGTAGCGAGCTTTGTGTGTAGCGTGTGGTCTATAGTGCCGTGGTGTAGCGAGCTTTGTGTGTAGCGTGTGGTCTATAGTGCAGTGTTGCAGTGAGCTTTGTGTGTAGCGTGTGGTCTATAGTGCAGTGTTGGAGGGAGCTTTGTGTGTAGCGTGTGGTCTATAGTGCAGTGTTGCAGTGAGCTTTGTGTGTAGCGTGTGGTCTATAGTGCCGTGTTGGAGGGAGCTTATCTCTGTCTTTGTGTGTAGCGTGTGGTCTATAGTGCCGTGGTGTAGCGAGCTTCTTTCGGGCTCTCTGCGACGGGGCCTGGGTGGCTCGATCCCGTTGAGAAGCCGTTCGTGGTGTCTTTGTCGGGCGGGCCCTGGGAGCTCGCAAGATGCGCGTATCGTCCCGTGCGGTGCTGGGCAAGGTAGGGGCCCCAGTCGGCCTCGGGCCTGCAGACGGCCTGGAAACGCTGTCATGTCAAGGAGAGCGCAGAGTTAGATGATTGTGGACAGCTTAATCGATGTCAACACCTACTAATCATCTCAACGTTTATACGTACAGACATTATTTTGTCCACAAAAACAAAGATCCCACCATATAGCCTTAACAGACTGTTGGGGCAAGTGCTGTGAGCGAGCACCATGTATGTTCAGCATTGCATGTACCAAAGCTCTCAATCCTTATCCAGACCACCAGCTCAACAGACCTGAGCGTGTGGCCATTTTGTCATTTAGAACACTAACTCGTGAAAAAATGTTTATGGCCATCTCGACAAGCAACAGTGAAACAAGCTATAGGTGGGTTTCATCCTCATTGTAGTCATCCCTGTTTGCTGCTCTTGTATGCATCTGGGAGCCCGATATGGAGAGGGCCGTAGCCTTGAGACTCTGGGGACCCCATTCGCGCTGCCTAAAAGGAACAATTAACATCTGTAAACGATGAGAAATGCCCCATCGCAACAGAAAAAAAGTGTGCAGGTTGAAAAACCAAAAATTAAACAACGCACAAGGATGTGCATTGCGCATTCAAACTTATTCAGTCCCTGTCCAAAACCAGAGGTGCTTCGTTCGAGCGGTGCAGCCTCACCTCCCAGATGCTGCCACCTTCCGCCTTGATAATCTTCCACACACCAATGATGGGGATCCAGATGAGACTGAAGATGATCATGCACCAGCCAAGTGCGATGGCCCACATGGGGTAGACCACATCTCCGTATGTTGGTGCTTGAAATGTGATGATTGACCACAGGAAGATGGCCTGAAACGGGGTTTTTTTCATTTACATTCAATGGATGAGCCTCGTGGAAACAACAGGTTAATATGAAATTCAAGCACAGGATGCTGTTGCTTTTCATGATCAAAATACATTTTCCAAAATGACTAACCTGCTCTCACGTACCTGTTTACTTCTTAATTTCCATCAACATTTACGCGAGACAGACATTCTCAATTGTACTATCCAGTTTCGTCCATTATCACACGTGTGTGTGTGTATATATATAAATTGGCCTTAAATATCATAATGGGCAATTTAGAAGACAAGCAACTGCATAAGCAAACTGGATTACGAAAACAATCTAGAATTGACCACGTACGTACGATTATCTGGAGGGAGAAGGCCACGGTCAGTGGTGAACAGTCGGGAAGTGATTTGTGGGCAGCCATCGTTGTGAGTGCTCGTAAATTGACTTGCGATAAGGAGAGGCGATGAACTTACGATGAGGAGTAGGGGTGAGATCACGAACCAACACGCACGCCACCAAATCCAGAAAAGCTGCGACTTCTTCCCAATCATCATCTCAATGTCGCGGATGAAACGGTTTCCACCTGAAGGTGTGCAAACACACTTACCTCCAGCTCTCAAAGGGCCGTGCTCGGATTACAAATGTAAAGCAGACATGCAACAGTGGCCGTATAACAGGTGGCCAATGTCAAAATCTCGGGACTGCTATGGTAATCCTCGAAGCACACCGCTATAGCAAGAGTTCATAAGGCAGTGTTTGTTAACGGTGGTTATGGTAAAATATGTTTGGTGTGCAACTGGTGAAGCCGATTTGAAGTGGGCAAGTCTGTTAAGGCTTCCCTTTACCAAGCTGTTGGTTCGACTACTGAAATACATTACATGTGCACATTAGTGGAAAGCGCAGGCAGGGTCATTGGTTGTCTCGCAAGTAGACACCGTATGTACTCAACATCTCTCGAAGGCAGACAGGATTCAGCTGGAATTATGGGTGTGCACAAATAAGTATTCCCAAAATGTTTTGTTTTAACTCCAGCTGGAATACCGTCGGCACATAAACCAAGCTGTGTGACAGAAGGACAAGTTGGTGTGGTCATTCGTAAACATGTTTTAATTAAAATGCATTTAATTTATAAAATGTCCAAGAATCTCACGGCACCATCAGTAGGCCATGATCGGTGAACCTGTGCCCGTGGGCACCCGTGTGGCATGAGCGTAGAACGCACGCAGCTTGCAATGTTTTGTACTTTAATTATTTTTGGGAGGCATATGACCAAAACATTGGCTGAGCTGAGTCTGACCCTGACAGGTTTTAGGATTGGAATAAGGAACTACAACCCACATGTTGGCTGACATGAGTTTTACATGGAGACACAGACTGCTGTCTTATTTGCTACTCACAATGCTCCGCAACAGAGCACAAGTGCTTCTAGCGCAGGACATGCGTGTAATTGAATGGATAAATAAACATGTGATGCATGCTCCTTCACAAAAGTAACATCTGATCCACCACCGAATGGAATTTCAGGACCAATGGTACCCAGGTAGCCTTTACCATACAGCAACAATGCCTGTACTCCACTGAATTCGATTTAGAACCCCAAATTTTACGTCGATGACTTGTCTATGCCATCAGTCTATCCAGTATCATGAATCTAAAGGCCACACTGCTGGTGCAGCTGTAGAGTCGATGCTGGTTCAGGGTTATCTTTGGACGAACAAATGCTCTCGCGAGCACTGGCTTGTGTCGTAACAGCTCAATGTGTTATATCTCACCATATATCCAGTTGATTCCAATCAGCTCTAGCGCAGCAGCCACCAAAAGTCCCCACCCACCGCAGAAATGGTCAACCAGATTCACCCAGTAGATCCCAGTCTTGGGAGATGAAGACACGCATACACACGGTAATACAACTGTGAATGCACATTTTGCCTAAATACGTAGAGTATCCCAAGATTCTGTACAGAGTGATTCACAGAATAAAATAATCATAAGCAAGGCTCCGACGTCGATTGAACCTCACTTGGGCTGCATGCGGCGTGCGGGCCACGTGGTTTGGGCAACAAGGCGTCACCTTGGCAAGAGAGCATGGGGCACCTGAGTTGTGGTCGTCAGCCCGAGCAGGAACAGCAACATGCACACCGAGAAGAGTAGCGGGAGGCGGCGCTTGCGGAAGAAGTTGGGGAACTCGTCCACCAAACCCGTGGTCACCGTCTCTGCAGGCGACACGTGCTGTGCACTCACGGAGCAGGCGAGCCAGGAGCCAGGACACCTGGGGTCCGGCGTCTGTGCTCCCAACGGTCGGTGCAGCTGCTCTTTCAATCGTGTGCCTGCTCTGAGCAGCTACTTTTTGTGTTTTGTTTTACTAGGTAAAGCCCACTGAGCTATACAGCTGTTTTTTAAGAAGTGGCCTGACCGGAAATGATAGCTCAACGAAATTGGCTTGTCGTGTGGAAATTTATAGCAGCCAAAAACTCTAAACGCATGTTTCTAAATGTGGAGGGAAAAACTGAAGGACCGGGAGAAAAATCCACGTGACCACAGCGAGAACATGCAAACTCCACAAATACAGGCGTCGGGGTCCCACACGGATCATGCCTATAACAATAAAAACAATTTTGATTTAAAGCTTTCGTGACTGCAGTAATTCATATTCTTAGCTCTTTCGGTAAAGTCACGTTGAAGGGAAACAATAAAATATATATTTTAAATATATATTTTATTATTTTATTGTTTCTCTTCAATGTGACTTTACCGAAAGAGCTAAGAATAAAAACAATCTTTATTTTGGAACAACTCAAGACTTTTTATCAGGGTTCTACTTTGGATTGTTTGTCAGCTTCTTTAAAATAATTTATTTCTACGTCCCAATGCCTATGCTCCTTACTTTCACCAATCCACGCTTACCAACGTGGCTAAATTTGAAATACTCCCCATGGCCAGCATGGTGTGGCGATGCCCTCTTCCAGTAGTGCATTGACTTCAGGGCTGTCCGTACACATACATACTGTTACCCCGAACACTCAGATGTTTCTTTTGATTCAACTCGCCAGTGGAGGAACAGATTACGAGCCATGCATGCAAGGGGCCCAGAGCGCATGAACCCTGAATGTGGAGCGATGCTTCTGTGCTCCACAGCAGGTGCATGAGCCTTTTTTGAGAGACGCGGTTAATGGGAAATGTGACGCGGACTTACCTATAGTGGCAAACTGGCTGTCGAGGCCCAGCGTGAGGAACATGAGGAAGAAGAGGATTGACCAAAGAGGAGAGATTGGCAGTTGTGCCAGCGCTTCAGGGTAGGCCACAAATGCCAGTCCAAATCCTGTGGACAACAACATCGCCTTCATCTCTCCAGTAGCGACGTTTTTACAGACCATACCAGTTACTCATTTGAGGCCGAGTCGACTTAGGGGAGGCCAAGGACCGCTTCAAATAATCGTCACGTGTTAGCCGTGAGCGGGAATCAACCTCGGGTCGCCGGGTTTATAGCATAGCGCTACACCAGCGTCTGCATAGCACCAATTGCACAGGAACTGTGTGATTGCTGTGCAATAGCTGCACATGGGATCCGTGTGATAGCTGTGCAATAGCTGCACACGGGATCCGTGTGATAGCTGTGCAATAGCTGCACACGGGATCCGTGTGATAGCTGTGCAATAGCTGCACACGGAAACCGTGCAAGTAACTACAGGAACTCACCGGCATCGGCTACCTCTGAAACGGGCTGCCCGGTGGTGTGAGCCATGTGCCCAAGAACACTGAAGATCACAAAGCCGGCGAAGACGCTGGTGGAGCAGTTGGTGATGGTGACGACGAGGGCATCCTTGAAGCAGTTGTTGTGGAACTTGTTGTAGGAGGTGAGAGCGATGAGGCAGCCCGAGGCCGTGGCCAGGGAGAAGACGATCTGCGTGGCTGCGTCCTTCCACACCTGAGGACAAAGACAAAAGATCCCCCACCCCCGTATAGCCTCAACATACTGTTGTGGCAAGTGCTGTTGGAGAACACCTAAGAGCACACACCCAGTCGTACACGTACAGTGGCTGTGCGTGCAAAATACACCCTTGGCTAGAGGTAAACGTGGGCAAAACAAAAAGACGGCATCAGATTGGTAAAACGAATTTCTGGAGGCACAAACTTGACAACGCAGATACGCAATGCAATTTGGGTTTATGCCGTGTTAAAGTACAGCTGTGTCTGTAGAAGTTTTACAAAAAGATTGGGAACCAGCGGAGGGAAGCCCAGGACCAGTTCAGATGTCATTTACCACTGATGTGAAAAAAACTCGGGTCACTGGGTTCATAGCACCGACTAATTAGCATGGTTGGCTAAGTACGGTGCAAAGGAAGAAGTTCTACATATGTAGTGACGCCGGACAACTTGAACTGTATAGGTTTCTTTATTTATTACTTAGGACACTCCACGCAGATAACTTAACTTGGGCAGGGATAACGCACAGATCGCTTGGGCCAGGGATGGCACGCAAGTAGCGACGATGCGAAGACAGTGACGGCGTGAAGACAGTTGACCCCGATCCCACAGCAGCCCCGAACCTCGCCTCTCACCCCTTTTATTACCGGCGTGGCCCACCTCTCCGCCTTCGGCCACGCCCTCTTTTTTCGAATTAGTTCGCACTTTCCCGAACTTCCCAGATGGTTCCCTTCTGTAGTTACCCCTCGTGACCATTTGGCCACGCACTGTCCCTGCACCCGCACTGTCTCTACACCAGCACTGTCTCCCCCCATGCACTGTCTCACTCCCCGCACTATCCCTACATATGTGTAGTGGTTGAACTTTACACAAACAACTTTTGTCTTTCTTCAACCACTTCTTTATTTTCACCGTTTAACACGTTCTCCACACTCCACCGTATCCCGGACACCACGGCCCGCTCGCCGTGTCTCGCCCGTCTCGCTCACCACCTTGGTTCCCAGTATCACGTCGCCTTGCTCCGCACACACGTCTTCAACTCTATTCCTACGCTCTCTCCACTGCTGGCTATCCTCCTCAGCTCCTCCGCTATACAGCGTCGTCGCACACAGCGAAACCCAATCTCACTTCTCTGTCTCCGCACACCTCGTCTCCAGCTCCTCTATTACTACGCTCACTCCACTGCTAACTGTTCCGTCTTCTTCAGCTCCGCTAACTCTACGCTCACTCCACTGCTAACTGTTCCGTCTTCTTCAGCTCCGCTAACTCTACGCTCACTCCACTGCTAACTGCTCCGTCTTCTTCAGCTCCGCTAACTCTACGCTCACTCCACTGCTAACTGTTCCATCTTCTTCAGCTCCGCTAACTCTACACTCACTCCACTGCCAACTGTTCCGTCTTCTTCAGCTCCGCTAACTCTACGCTCACTCCACCGCTAACTGTTCCGTCTTCTTCAGCTCCGCTAACTCTACGCTCACTCCACTGCTAACTGTTCCGTCTTCTTCAGCTCCGCTAACTCTACGCTCACTCCACTGCTAACTGCTCCGTCTTCTTCAGCTCCGCTAACTCTACGCTCACTCCACTGCTAACTGTTCCATCTTCTTCAGCTCCGCTAACTCTACACTCACTCCACTGCCAACTGTTCCGTCTTCTTCAGCTCCGCTAACTCTACGCTCACTCCACCGCTAACTGTTCCGTCTTCTTCAGCTCCGCTAACTCTACGCTCACTCCACTGCTAACTACTTCGTCTTCTTCAGCTCCGCTAACTCTACACTCACTCCACTGCTAACTGCTCCGGCTTCTTCAGCTCCGCTAACTCTACGCTCACTCCACTGCTAACTGTTCCATCTTCTTCAGCTCCGCTAACTCTACACACCTGCCTGGCTTCCAACTCCAGACCCCAACTCTCCTCAGCTCTCACTCCCAATTCTCTTCAGCTCCAACTCCTCAACTCTCTGTGTCTTCTCCCAATTTATCCCCCTTCACATTATTGCTAATTAATTGGCCCGCGTGCCTCCGCACACAACGCATCATCCACCAACTGCCTCCTCTGAGACATCCCGGTGCCTCTCCAGCCCCCGGAAACAGTCCCAGCCAATCACCGCCGTTGCTTCTCGTCTACCTTGATTGGCCCAACCGATGACGTCACCTTTCAGCTTCTGCACGTGGTGCCTGTCCTAAGGCGACCCACGCTGTTTACGCCTTCCATAGGCTAACCCCCAAATAACCCCACACTGTCCGTGTGATCAATACAATCGCGCGGTTTCCCCAGCACACCTTCCTACTCCACTACATCTGCACTAACAATTGTACCACCGCGCTACTCCCCACGGTTAATTGTCCAAGAGGAGGAATGGATTTGTCTGGGTTCGGTGTGGAGGTTTGGAGTGGGAACCTCGGCAGACTGCAGCTTCGTGAAGTTGGACTGGCGTCCGATGTAGTACTCGATGCCCAGGATGGCTCCCGGCAGTGTTGCCCCGCGGATCAACAGAATGATGAGCACCACGTATGGGAAGATGGCCGTGAAGTACACCACCTGCATGCGAAACATGCAGTTCATAACCCCACATTAAATCATAAATATAGTCGCAATCGTACGGCAACACGGGCAAAAAGGTGATTTCCAGATTAACAATATGCAATTGTGACCACAGGATGAGTCCTCTCAGCATGCCTTGCATGTCACGTGACATCACCATTCTGCACGTGCAATGCGCACAGCATTGTTTAAAAGATGGCGGGTCAATGTTGTGGCCCTGTCATTTCGCACAAGAGCAGGAAAATGAGACGGCTCTACACCGGCTCCATCCGTCTTAGGAACCACCGAGGCCAGTGTAGCCATCCTTGGTTTCCCCTCCTGCTCCCCTGCGCCTCGCGAGCTCGATGTTGCCTAGTGGCAACAATAAACCATCCCGAACGCTTCCATTCTCCGGTAAAACGATGCAAAAAGTCGTCGGGACGGGCGAGAGTTTCCCCTCTGACCGCCTGCTCGGGCCCCCGCGTGCCCCCTCCTTCTCGGGGTGCGAACGCCCACCTTGCCGGACGACTTGATTCCCTTGACGAGTGCCGCGCACGTGACGATCCAGGACAGCAGCAGGGTGAGCGCGAGGTGCCACACGACATCCCCTGTTTCGTCCATGGATTCCGACCGCCGCAGAGCGTACTTGCTGGAGGGGGGCGGGGCGCGCACGTGCATCGGTGGTTCTTGATACGAAGGTCCTCTCGGCGAATATCGCGATCGGGTAGCCTCATTAGTTTAACAGCCTCATTGAACAGAGCCTCTCTTTACATCCTTATTCCACTGGGACATCTGATTCGATCCGAGCAAACGCAGGGCTCTCGAGGTACTGGATACTTTGGGGGCCGTCCATAAATGACGTCACGCGATTTTGGGCGATTTTTCACCCCCCCCCCTTCGTCAAACGGCGTCACAAAAAGTCAGACCCCCCCTCAAATATGACGTCACAAAGCTCTGCCCCCCCCCCCAAAAAAAATATAAAACATGCTTCAAATCGCTTTAAACTATTGTCATTGTAGTGCGTATTTAATGTGGCGCTGCACTCTGATGTTGTAGGAGAAAACATTTATTAAAAAGTCTATTTAATTAAGTATGACGTGTTGTCTATATTTAAAGTTGCGCATTTTGATGTGACGTCACATTTCTCAACCCCCCCCCCTTGTCACAAATGTCTGACCCCCCCCCAGGTGCGTGACGTCATTTATGGACGGCCCCTTATATGCCGAGGCAGATCTCTTGTGGCCCCAACAGGCAGGTTCCATTTTTCGATTTAAAGCTTTCGTGACTGCAAGGATTCATCTTCTTTGGTTCTTTCGGTAAAGTCACGTAGAATGAGAATAAAATAATAAAATAAAGCAATAAAATTCTCACGTCGTTTCGGCCACAACACAAGCGGCCTTCTTCAGGTGAAGAAACAAAAATCTGTCGGGACGACAGAGCTCCAATGAACGCTGCTAAGATTCGTAGCGTCTTTTAAGCTGGTTGAGAGAAGAGAGGCACCTTGATAAAGGGGTTAATATATCAAACAGCAGAATTTAGCATTGAATAGCTGAGGGATTAGCTTGTGACTGGTCACAGAAATAGCTATGTTAAAGTCAAAGCCTACACATCAACAGAGGCACCTAGTACAAATCAAACAAGATAATTTATCATTGAAATAGCTGAGGGATTTAGCTTGTGACTGGTCACAGAAATAGCTATGTTAAAGTCAAAGCCTACACATCCACAGAGGCACCTAGTACAAATCAAACAAGAGAATTTAGCTATTCAATGCTAAATTCTCCTGTTTGATATGTTAACCCCTTTGTCAAGGTGCCTCTCTTCTCTCAACCAGCTTAAAAGACGCCACAAATCTTAGCAGCGACCATTGGAGCTCTATTGTCCCGACACTTTTTTGTTCCTTCACCTGAAGAAGGCCGCTTGTGTTGTGGCCGAAACGTCGTGAGAATTTTATTGTTTTATTTTTTTTTCATTCTACGTGACTATAACCGAAGGAACCAAAGAAGGCGGGTTCCAGTGACGGCGCAATCGACGCGTTCGTTGCATGTGGTGTTGGTCGAGACACCGTGAGGACACGTTTAAATGACGCATCACCGCGTCATTTAAACGCACCTCGACTCATTCATTGCGCGTGTCGGTGGCGCAGTTGTGGTATTGCAGTGGGAAAAAAATCCAGTGTTTCGTGAGCCGCACCGGGCTGGCTTGGCATGGGCACGGAACGTCACAGTTGTACCGTGGGAAAGAGCTGTTATATGCACTCTGTATGCATGTTGAACTTCTTTCGCACCATGCATAGCCAACCGTGCTAATAGGAGCTTTAAATGCGGCACACTGCATCTGCTGCTTATTTACACAGCCTCACAGATGGACAAACCGAAATGGAGAGAATTTTTTTTTTATTTAAAATGCAAATTATGGATTTCAAGAGTTTTGGAACCATTTGTGAGTGTCTATAAATTATTATATTTTCAAATTACTTTGCGCGGTATACTTTTGCAAGTACCGTACAGTGTGCAACACATCTTACACCAAAGGTAGCGAGTAACCCAGTGCTCAAACCGAGGCCAGTAGAGCTGCTGATTCTGTGTCACAACTGCTACTGCTGTGTGTGGATGGGCAGTCCTCACTTCCAGTACTGCTCGCTGGGCGTCTGCTTGCTGGAATTGACGCTGGAACAGTTTCCCTCTGCGAGGGAGCTGTTGCAAACTTAGAACAGAGGGATGCAATGTCGCAAAAAGTGAGCAGTCCCAACTATAAATGTAAGTCCATAATAATTTACTTCATGCTTTAATGCGCCGACAACGAAAAGGTGAAAATAGTTGCGGTGCTGATAATGCACAGTTCCTTAGCGACTCCACGCCACACGTGGTTTCACGTCTCACCTGAGCGGTCGAAGCAGTTTTCGTCAGCTCCCCACCACTTCTTGCAGGATGACCACGGCAGCTCGGATGTGAAGCTGGCAAAGAGGTAGAAGAGGCCGTAGGCGATGATGGAGTTGTAGTAAAGTGCGATGAGGGAGGACGTTATCACCATCATCCAGCCCAAGCCTATAGGAGGGAGGAGATGAAAAGAGGATGTGGTGTAATTTCTTTCATTCTTTTCAAATATTTAGACTCTGGACATGCTTGCAAACGAGATGTTCAATCTCAACAGATTTTCCAGGTATATATTTATTAAAGTAAAAAAAAGCCATCATCTCAATTTGATCAACAAATTAGGGTTCTCAGCCAGGGCTTCATGTTCTCTTGGGGGAATGGACACGGATGTATTTAGTGGGGGGGTCCCTCCCAGTCTGACTCTATCCTGAGACCTACTCAGAGACGCACTGCGTTTATCTGTGCACCTTTCGACTCGGGAAAACACCAATCGCGATTATGATGGGGCTCTGCGTAATACGCTGCCTGAGCTGGCTCCAGTGACGAGCCCACTGCGAACTAACCCCCGGCCACACACAGACCCCGGCCTTGGTCGCACCGCAAGTTCACCCCCCCCCCCCCCCCCACACACGTGTGTCGCTGACCTTTCAGGAGAGGGACGACCTTCCATATGGTGATGGGACCCAGGCTGGCGAACTGGCCAATGGAGCACTCGAGGAAGAAGAGCGGGAGCCCCACAAAGGCCAGCATGATGATGTAGGGAATGAGGAAGGCTCCTGTGGGGGTAAGGCGAGTCCATGCGGACCACGGCAACGTCCGGTGGGGGGGGGGGGGGGGGCCCGGGGGAAGGAGAAGAGGACGCGTTTGGGAACCGGGCATGAGAACAAATGCAGAGCCGTTGCTAACACGATACCTTGAATATATTCTCGGTGTTCAATGCAGATTGTATGAATGTACTTGTGATTGGAATGCCGCTGCGGTGTGATGGTTAGCAGCACACTGTGCTTGCAATCCAGGGGTCGCCGGTTTGATCTCCCACCGTGGGAGTTCAAACAAGGAGGCAGGTTTATTAAATCGCAATATATGAATCGCAATGGACACGTCACAAGATTGCAATCCAGCTAAAACACAATTCAGATGTTTTTTTTCTCCAATCCAACTTATTTTAGTGAAGTTAAAACAGAAGTACGTATTCGTGAGTCCTTAACATAGAATAGGAAATCACAGTGACGGAACACGTACGGCTGCAAAAGAAACTGAATTTAGCTTAGAATGCTTAACGAAATTACGGAGGCTTCACGCCCATTTTTAGCTGATGGATTACTGACCCTGCAAACAACTGTAATCCTAATAGCCTCACTAAACGGGTCATTCTTACATATTAAAAAAAGTTTAACCTGTCGTTTACTGATATGTAAAAACAATATAAAGAAGATGGGCCAATGAAGAGTCCAACCGTGGCAATGCAATGATATTCCGCGTTGACGCCTGACGATGGTTAATGGTACAGCCCTGCAATTGCTTGCTCGAACCGCCGCTGGCAGAAGACTTTCAGAGACAGCAGGGGGTCTGTAACCTGCGGCTCTTCGAGGACTGCTTTGTGATGGTTATTTATTCCGGATGGTCTCACATTCACATGCATCGCGGCTCTTTTAAACAAAAGTGTTTTACCGGATTCGCCAAAAATTGTCTCTCGAGTCGTGGTTGTTCAACTTTTCTGCAGCCGTGCACCCCTCCGGTGCTCAACCGTGTAACACAATGTACAATGTTGATACCGACGTAGAGGGCTTGACGAAACAAGTTGTACTCACGTGCCCGTGCTTAATTTGTGTTTCGATGATTTACCTTCTAAAAAAATCTGGACGTGTATCGCACCCCCTAGAAAGGGCATTTCCCACCCACAGGGGGTGCAGCCGGCACCCAGGTTAAGAACCACTGCTCTGGAGGGTATTTTTTTGCCTACTCTTCCAACAGAAGGGGAGGAGAGGGGAATTTTTCGATTTAAAGCTTTCGTGACTGCAAGGATTCATCTTCTTTGGTTCTTTCGGTAAAGTCACGTAGAATGAGAATAAAATAATAAAATAAAATAAGACAATACAATTCTCACGACGTTTCGGCCACAACACAAGTAGCCTTCTTCAGGTGAAAGAACAGAACTGTCGGGACGACAGAGCTTCAATTAACGCTGCTAAGATTCGCAGCGTCTTTTAAGCTGGGTGAGAGGCGTGGCGAGCCTTGAAAAAGGTGTTCACATATCAAAGCAGGAGAATTTAGCATTGAAAAAACTGAGGGATTAGCTTGTGACAGAAATAGCTGTGTTAAAGTCAAAGTTTACATATCCACAGAGGCATTTAGTATATGGACGCTAAAGGCCTCCAATTACCAACTATTATAAAGTAAACCATATGTAAACTTTGACTTTAACACAGCTATTTCTGTCACAAGCTAATCCCTCGGCTATTTCAATGCTAAATTCTCCTGCTCTGATATGTAAACTCCTTTGTCAAGGCTCACCACGCCTCTCACCGAGCTTTAAAGACACTATGGTTTACTTTATAATAGTTGGTAATTGGAGGCCTTTAGCGTCCATATACTAAATGCCTATGTGGATATGTAAACTTTGACTTTAACACAGCTATTTCTGTCACAAGCTAATCCCTCAGTTTTTTAAATGCTAAATTCTCCTGCTTTGATATGTGAACTCCTTTTTCAAGGCTCGCCACGCCTCTCACCGAGCTTAAAAGACGCTGCGATTCTTAGCAGCGTTAATTGAAGCTCTGTCGTCCCGACAGTTCTGTTCTTTCACCTGAAGAAGGCTACTTGTGTTGTGGCCGAAACGTCGTGAGAATTTTATTGTCTTATTTTATTTTATTATTTATTCTCATTCTACGTGACTTTACCGAAAGAACCAAAGAAGAGGAGAGGGGAACTTTATCAACTAAAACTGATTTTATATTAAACTTACCACAGTGGTCTCCACTATAGTAAACTCAACTTAGATCACACATCGAGGTCATTCTAGTTGAATACTTGATCTATATTAGCTTTGGCTATGGTTAACATACAAGGTATCCGTGTGTCTTTCAACAAGAGGTGTATGGACGTATAGAAAACACATGGGCAATACCCACAATGCATTACTTAAAATAAGCACATCTAGGGATACATAACTCGCAGGGGAAAAAACCTCATCAGCTCTGTAATCTACATGGCCCGCATGGCCTCGAGTTGCAATGCGGTTTGTGTTTTACGCTGTTCAACCTTGGTTCTCGACACAATAAAGTAACATTTATGATGCCAACTGTTGTAATTTATGATCAACCCTCGCTGTTGTTCCGCACATATCAAAGGTCTTGCTTATTGCTGAATGGGATTTTACCTGACTTTTTTATTCCTTTGGTCAAAACTTCACAAAAATAACTGGAGAATTAGGCGCAATTAAACATAATTCTGATTGATAATTACTCAGTGGTAAATGGTGGAAAACCCTTTCCCAAATACAGCTTACTCGTGTGTTTGATTGGTCTCTAAAAATCAATCTGTTCCTTATTAATTTAATGAACGATGCCTGTGTGTGTGTGCGAAAGTAGGTTAAATCATTTTGACGAATAAATCCGTTATGCCCACTCTGCCATGATTTGGAAGAATTTGGAATGACAAAAATAAAGAGCTGAATATTGCCTGGCAGCATGGAGAGATGCGTTCTTGAAATGACACTGAGAGATAGAAAGAGACTCGCATGGATTAGGAACACGCACACAAGATCTTGACTTAAAGCTTTCGTGACTGCAGGAATTCATATCCTTGGGTCTTTCGGTAAAGTCACGTAGATAGGTTCAAAGAAAATTACGAAAAATAACAAAACAAAAAAAAGACCCAAAAATATGCACACAAGAGCTAAGAGACATAATTCTGGTTGTTTAGAAAACCAGAAGGCCTTAGAGAGGACGAATCGTTAGAAGGCATAGTGGCTGGTGGACGAGCCTGATAGCAAAGGAGAGATCGCAGTTGAGCATGGTCACCGTGGAGATTGGAACAACGCTAGATGGAGTGTGCAGGACTGTGAGGAATGACGACAGTGTGAGGTCTTCATCCAGTCGTTGATAGACCAGGCATTATGATCATGATATTAATTGGGTCTGAGTGATTTCTATCTCAAATGAACATTGTGGTAGTGCTCATATCCTGTTTGCAGCTCTGAGCCAGCGGTGGAAGCTCCACGCTCCTATGACGGCAACAAGTCTATCCATAGGACAACCAGTGTTAAATTCCCCACAAAGTAGTTCTATGTTTATCGATGGGTTAAGTCAACCACCAACCAGAATGTGAACCTGGAACCTTCCGATTGCGATCCACTTGTTCTACCGCTGAGCTAATCGTGCAGTGAATTTTGTGGAGGTTTACGTTGAATGTAGGAGAAAAATACATTCTCAAAAACAAGGCGGGTGACGGGAGGACAGCAGACCTGAAGATATGTGGAAGGGTTAATAGATACGTGGACACAGATGGCAGATGGTTAACGAAACACGAACAGGCAGTTGAGTGATTCATCACAGGTCTAAGGGCTCTTTATATCCTTGCTGTAGAGTGATATTCATAATTGGGTTTTATATATGAGTAGTGTCATCTTCTTTTGCTATTTAAAAGAACACATTATCTGTTATTGTATTGGTAGGATCACTGTGTTTTTAATGCAATACAACATTAGATGATCCAACATGAACCAAAGGTTTGTAAAAAGTTGAGTTGCTTTGACGGACTCAACCTTTTGCAAACAGGCAACATTGATCTCGGGGTTTGCTAAAACGTGGAGACACAAACCAATTAATAAATGTCTCCGCTTTTTTTGTCTCAGTCATGCTCTCATCATGACTTGCAGGCCTACCACCTCCTGTGTGCCTGGTGCAAGTGCTACCTGTTTTTTTGTTTCAATTAAATATTAACGAGGACAAACGCACGTTGGAATGCGTTACATAATCCATGCGTACCCATAGTTTTTCTTCCTTCTTAAACACTTTTAATTTGAACAATTTTCCATGACATTACGCTGTGGGATATTATGACATTTCTATTCGCGACATAAATATGCAACGCGGTAGCTGCGATGTTGAACGCATGGTTAATTATATGACAGCTCGAATTATAAATCGAAATGGAAAAGAAGAAAACTGTTTTGAAGCGTTTTTTTATAGGGTGCTTTAGTCTTGTTTTTAAAGATGTTGCACCATTAACGTGTTGCTATGATCACCGTTGTTTTTATTAGTGGAAAAACTGACAGCTTGGACAATACATATCAAATGAGTACCTTGCTATTAGATTTGCCTTTTTGTTATACACTACATTGCGAAGCGGTGTGTGGACGAAGCTTAGGGGGGAGGTCCTCATCCAGCAGTAGATTTACAAAAGGGCCGTACACGTATGTGTTCTTCCTTGCGCAAAGGCATGTAAAAAAAATGCAATTGGAAAGCACAAGGCGATTGCCAGAAATGTGTGGGGTGACACTCCTGGGCACCGCAGACAGTGACATAAAAACATGCCACGTATCTCTTTACAGGCACTTATTTCTAGTCAAGCCCTGCTATGAGGCCCCGAATGGACTTCGCCGGTTATAAAGGTACTTATTTATGACTTTGAAGACACAGACTCGATTGTTGCGTTGCAGATTCACGGTGGGGTAGATGCCCTTTGTGGAGATTACAAATGAGACGAAAAAGGTTCAGAGATGAAAGAAGGGGAACAAGGTGAAGGTGATGAAATGATGGCCGAGAATGAAAAAGGTATCTTTTCTTAGCAACAGTTTACTGCTGATGACAAAACCAAGTTTAATAAAAGCTCCACAGATGATAAGCTTAAACCTTAAAACACCAGCATCGTGCCATGATTACAAGACGGAATGCGTCTGTGCAAGTTTCAACTACATTAAGCACATTACAAAACAAATCACAGAACAATAATTCCTTATACATAATATACCGGCAACCTCAACCAAATGAGAATGCATTGAATGGAAGAGATAAGCTCAATACACCTCATCTCTTTTGTATCGTGTTTTCATTTATACTCTTTGGTTCTATCGGTAAAGTCACGTAGGTATAAAATAAAATAAATCACGACGTTTCGGGCGCAACACAAGCGTCCGTCATCAGATGACGCAACACAAGCGTCCGTCATCCGATGACGCAACACAAGCGTCCGTCATCCGATGACGCAACACAAGCGTCCGTCATCCGATGACGCAACACAAGCGTCCGTCATCCGATGACGCAACACAAGCGTCCGTCATCCGATGACGCAACACAAGCGTCCGTCATCCGATGACGCAACACAAAGCGTCCGTCATCCGATGACGCAACACAAAGCGTCCGCCATCTGATCACCACCGCTTGCGTTGCGCCCGAAACGTCGTGATTTCTTTTATTTTATACCTACGTGACTTTACCGAAAGAACCAAAGAGTATGGATTCCTCCAGTCACAAAAGCTTCAAATCAAGTGTTTTCATTTGTTCAGAATCATGAAAGTAGAGCAATTACGCATCGAGCTGCCAATGTGGAAAACTAGCGTTGCAACAGAGCAAGAGCTTCTTTGGTTCTTTCGCTAAAGTCACGTAGAATGGGAATACAATAATACAATAAAATAACACAATTCTCACGACGTTTCGGCCACAACACAAGTGGCCTTCTTCAGGTGGAAGGAACAAACTGCCGGGACGACAGAGCTTAATAGGTGATACATTGTAGCTCTGTCGTCCCGACAGGTTGTTCATTTCACCTGAAGAAGGCCACTTGTGTTGTGGCCGAAACGTCGTGAGAATTTTATTGTTTTATTTTATTCTCATTCTACGTGACTTTACCGAGAGACCCAAAGAAGATGAATCCTTGCAGTCACGAAAGCTTTAAATCGAAACAGAGCAAGATGTTTCAGCTTTAGACGAATCGGGCATTTTGGTCAAAATTCAATACTGCTCCCAAATATCCAGCACAGCCAAATGTTCAGTGCATCTCCATATAGGCACATGACCGACTACACGAAATGGTAAAAGCATTGCACGTATAATGCCAGAACGTGTGTGTGCATGAATGTGGCAAGCGGTGGCGCAGTGGTTCGAGTGCTGTGCTACAGACTTGGTGACCCGGGTTTGATTCCCGCTCACGGCCAACATCAGTGACGAATATATGAACTGATCCTAAGCCTCCTCTAGGTCGACTCAGCCAAAAATGAGTCCCTAGCGTTCTGTAAACATCAGCACCAGGGAGACGGCAGTCGGGCATGGTGCTGGCCACCCATTCCCCTCGTGTACCGTGCCGGCCTTAACAGGTGCTACTCGCTAACAGCATTACCCCAAACAATCTGTTAAGGCTATACGGGGGGGGGGGGGGGTAATCTTTGTCTCTATCTCTTTGCACACGTGCGCGCTCACCGCCGCCGTTCTTGTAGGCCAGGTAGGGAAACCTCCACAAGTTCCCCAGCCCCACGGCGTTGCCGATCATGGAGAGCATGTACTCGCTCTTCGACGCCCAGTTGCCGCGCTCCACATTCTCATCTCCAGAGCTGCTCGCTTCATCCTGCGTGGCCCGTCACATTTCCTCCGACGTTGGGTTAAAGACGCTCGCGCAAGAAAACAAAAAAAAGCATCCCCGCAATTCAACGGAGAGAGCTGTCATATTTTAACCCGGTGAGATATGTTACGCCTTCACTCGGTGTAATTCCAAGCACGTGCCTCTCCCCGATTCTTAGCACTTTTCAGCTTTTGTTCCACTTTAATTTAAACGAAACTATTTTTTTTTATTTTGACCAGGTAAGGCCCATTGAGTCTATATAGCTCTTTTTCTGAAGCGATTTGGCCACAAATGATAGCCCAACGAAGTGGCTTATCACGTGGACATTTTATGGCAGCCAAATACTCTTAAACACGTGTTTATAAATGTGGAGGGAAAAACGGGAGGACCCGGAGTCAAATACGCACGACTACGGGGATAAAATGCAAACTCCAAATATACAGGCGTCAGGATCTGGATCACAATCGAACACACAACCTCCTGCACACCAGGCGAGGTAGTTAACATCTAGCCATCGCAACACCCCATTTGTCAATGTCCGTGTTTCTGATATCGAGAGGGCATTTGCAAGGCTACCTTGGCGAAAAGAGGAACGCATTGCCGAAAGGACATGTGAAAGTTACAGACATCACATTGACTCTTGAGCAGAGTGGTCTTGGCGGTGACACGTCGCTATAAACGTTCATTGCTGGAGGTCGAGTGGAATGATGGATCGGCAAGAGAGAGAACAACATCTGAAGGTGCACACAGTAAATTTAGATTTAAAGCTTTCGTGACTGCAGAGATTCATATTCTTGGTTCTTTCGGTAAAGTCACGTAAAGAGCCCAATGCATATCCGACCAGGAACACATAGCCAGTGAACTCAAGCACGTACACCAAGCTCTTAAGGCTAATGGTTACTCCAACTACACAATCCGCAAAGCTATCACTCCAACCATGAAGAAGGACCCTCTTGAGGAGCCTTTCAAAACCATCACTTTACCCTACATTGCGGGGATCACAAAAAAAGATCTCCAAAATCTTGAATAAACACAAGATCCAGGTCCCATTCAACACATTACATAAAATCAGTGATCTGGTTCCGTCTGTAAAAGATGTGATTCCGGACATACAGTACCCTGGCGTCTACAAACTAAGTTGCCTCTGTGGTAGTAGTTACATTGGAGAAACCAAACGACATGTCTCAGACCGCATTCGTGAACACAAAGCAGACCTAAAACACGGTAGGACCAACACCTCGGCCGTGGCAGATCACTGTTATAATTCAGTAGGCTCACATGACATTGACTTCTCCAAGACAGAAGTTATTTGCAAGCCATCTGGCTACCATGAGAGATTCGTTCATGAGGCTATTCACATATACAAACACAGAGACACTTTCAACCGAGAAGATGGATTCTGGCTTAGCAATCATTGGAAGGATTTGATAAACCATTTCGGGTCTTAATTGATTGTTCACGCTTACGGTGGCTTTCAGATCGCATCTATTATTTTCGTCTCCCCCCTCCTCTTTTCCGAACATAGATGGACTCGTCCATCTGAACAAACTGCCAAATCGCTCTCCGTGGTGCTAACGTTAAAAACCCCGCCACTTTTTTCAAATTTTCTTGCTGTGGTTTTCATACCTGATGATGATTGCTTGTGTTGCAGTCGAAACGTCGTGAGAATTGTATTGTTTTATATTTTTATTATTTTATTGTGTCCCTTCTACGTGACTTTACCGAAAGAACCAAGAATATGTGGACACAGTATTTGAGGTGCCATTGAGATTGTTCTTTGCAATAGCTCGCTCAAGCAACTTAACAGGCGAGTTGCCTTAGAATTAGTAACTTACGTTATGGTTTGAGGAGATTACAGTTTGACGTGCTTATGTAAATACAGTACAGTAATAACAGGAGTGCACATGCCTGACAATAACAGCACAGTGTACTGTACTATTATTATTGTTGTGTAGTTTCTTTTCTCCGGAAAGTCTCAAGGCTCTTTTTCGGGAGGGTCCTGCCCCCTTTTCACAGCAGGGGGTGGCGATGTCATCGCAATTGAATAATTTGCAGGTTTAAACGTTTGCAGCATGATGTTTGAGACAATACAAGTTGCATCGTATGGTTGGTTTTTGTTGTTGTTGTTGTAGCTATGGGAGTGAAATTGAGAACCCAGAGGAAAGGCACGCATAAGATGGAGAACATCCAAATTCCACTCACACGCACACACTCATTACTCCGCAGAGCGGAACATAGAAAACTCGGCACAGAAACGGGCGCCCGAGTCGGGGATGCAACCCAGGCGAAGCCGCCTCTTGCCGCGAATGAGCCACGACTGCTACCAATGCACACGCGGTACACTGTCATGTTGTAAATTATGTGATAATGTAATTATTGCGTTTAACCCACGAGAGTGCCAACCCATCGCGCGCCCCAGGGGCACGACTAAAACGAGCACCAATTCGTGAGGTGTTTGCACTACGGAACCGTCTGGGCCCCGCCATAGTAGCGTGGAATTATCTACACTCAGGGGACACTTTAGTGAAATGCGCAATCGCAAATGACCACACAAACAGCTTGAGGGCCAAAATGTACCCCCGGAATGAGCCCGGCCTGGTTGACATCTGTGAAGCTCGGCAGATCTGTGGTGAGCCTGGACAGCAGCAGAGCGTCGCGTTGGCGACCAACATCGCCGCCACGGGGCTCACAGGCGCTGTAGGATGATGATGATGATGCTGCTGCTTAGGGCTGAACGATTTGGGGAAAATAGCTAATTGCGATTTTTCTGACAGATATTGCGATTGCGATTTGATTTGCGATTAAAATTGTTTAAGGCGAGCTTCAGTTCAGTATTCACTGTGTAATAGATTTTAAACACGTGATGGAGCATTACCACATGATATCATCACAATATGAACTGCTCTATATATTCTAATGCAAGGATGAGAACTCAAAATATATGAATTGCTTCCAAACATGTATTTATTAAAATGTTTTAATTGAAATAGAACACTCAAACATATAACAATTGTTAAGTTAAATAAATAAAGTTATAATAATATATTTTTATTGACAATTCCAATAAGAAAGTAATAGGACTTTTCAAATCGCAGCCTTTGCGATTTGCTAATCGCATTGTTTCAAATTGCGATTTGAAATCGATTAATCGTTCAGCCCTACTTCTATGCTCCCGCGTCTTTGGCGGTGGCCTAGAGAGAGACGGAGAGAGGTCTGGGAGCTCGTACCGTACTCTCCGGTTAATAAGAGGCACCAGCCCACCCAAAACACGGATTTCAAATATTATATTCTTGGTTCTTTCGGTAAAGTCAGGTAGATAGAGAAAAATTCTAACATAAATTGAAAATAATAAATCAAAAACCGACGGCATTTCGATCGCAACACAAGCGGTCTTCTCTCCGCCTGATGAAGACCGCTTGGGTTGCGATTGAAACGTCGTGGGTTTTTGCTTTAATTATTTTAAATGTATTATTTTTAATCGTATTTTATTATTTTTTTATTTTCTATCTACGTCACTTTACCGAAAGAACCAAGGATATGAATTCCTGCGGTCACGACAGTTTTCATTCAAAATTTCAAATAATTTCAAAGCCAAACTTTGGGATGTTTCGCTCGTCTTATAATCCGGCATGTGCACGCTCGTGTGTACGCGTGTGTGTTTGTGTGCGTGCGTGCGCGTGTGTGTGTGTGCGTGCGTGAGTGAGACCAGATATGCGTGACCTTATTGACAAGTGGCGGGATGGTGGTGGTGGCGGTGGCTGCCAGTTTGCGCGTCTTGACTCTTTTCCCGGAGCGCGTCTCATTATGATCGCGGGGGTTTTTGGGGGGATTGGTCGCGGACGCAGCCGGTGGCCTCACCTGGGGCCGCTCGCCACTCTCCCCTTGCCGCGAGCCGCGCTTGACGGGTACCACCACGGCATCGAAGCCACCGCTGTCGCCCATTCGGCCTCTCGTGAGTTGCAGCCACCACCGCCGCCACCAACTCGGTCCGTGCGTCCTGCGACCGGTGGGGAGGTGTGGGGGTGGTGGCGGTGGTGGTGGTGCTGGTTGGTTGAGGGTGTGGAGAGACGGACAAAGGCGCAGCACCGCAAAGGCTCTCCTCACGCCCACTGCTGCCGGAGAGGAGGCTCCACTCGCAGTAGCTGTTCGGCTCGTGGGTGCGCACTTGGCCTACTCTTCAACTTTTGAGAACGACTGGCAGGGGGGGGGGGAGTACCCACGCCGTTTGATCCCACCACGCGCCACCTTCCGATTGACCGCTATGCGTGGTATACTGTACGCTGAGCTTCTTTCGCACCGTACTAAGACAACCGTGCTGATCGGAGCTGCTGGGTGGGCACAGGCAGGGAGGGGGAGGCGTGGGGTTTTAAGATGCCCCGGGGGCCACAAACAACTCTCACCGTTGTCTAAATCGGCGGCCTCTTCAGAATCACGATCAGAACATTCATTCATGCTTGAGAAATCCGATGAGCCGTGAAGCTCTTTTCAACAGTTCATTTCATTTTCAGTTCATTTATTTTGGTATAGACCTGTGAGCCATTCGGAACTTGAATCGGGTACAACCACAACAAACAAAAAACACGAACAAGAAAACATCTTAAAGTGACTATGTGACTGTGCAAACAGATAATCTATGAAAAAACAGCAAAATATTTCTGAAAAAAGCACCGTATACCAACGCTGTGTGCAAAAAATCCCAGTGCGATGCAAGTCAAACAACAACAACAACCACAAGAAAACTTAGATTAAGGCCATCAGTCTAACTCCGTACTACAACAAAACAAACATGTCCAAACCAAAAAAGGTGTTTGAAATAACCAAAAAATAAAGCCATAATTGCAACGTAACAGTGATCATAGGGACTGACCGAAGTTTTACAATAAACTACATAAATAACATGTAACACCAAATCCTAGAGCCATAGCTGGCTGCATGAGTTACTCCACAACAACAGAAGCATCAGTCGGGGTATCAAATATTTCAATGCACCTTTAAGATCAGCACACTAAATCAAAATACAGATAATACTTTGCAGCGTCATCCGGAGCCAAACAATTTATTTTATTTTACGCCAATGAATAGCAGTGGCAGCTAGGGGTGTACAACTCCTCTAGAGCAGTTTTGAGAGAAGATCTCATTGGTAGCGATTAAAGTTGCAGTGTATTGGCAATAGCATTCCAGACCCTGGGGGCATCAATAGCAAAGGCCCTTCCTCCAGTTTTTGTACGGCAATAGGGAATGTGAAGCTGGCAAATGAGCGAAGACCTGAGGTCAAATTTGTTCTTTGAAACAGAGAGGAGATCCAGCAGGTAGTCTGCGGATTTTTTCGTAAGTACATGGTGAATAAATAAGACGTCCAGCAAGGCCAGTGTGCTGAACACCGCACCACGACAGATTTTACCTTTTACAACAACCACCTTTGACGAGCTAAACCAAATTCTTTGGGTCTTTCGGTAAAGTCACGTTGATAGGTAACGACGTTACGATCGCGAACACAAGCAATCGTCATCAGGAACCTATCTACGTGACTTTACCGAAAGACCCAAAGAATATGAATTCCTGCTGCTCACAAAAGCTTTAAGTCAAGACCTAAACCAACTTAACCTGCGCTGACTAAACACGATAACACCGCACGCAATGTATCTTCAATACACACCACGGAGGTGTGTGGGTCGATCTTAAGTCAGCATCATCGTCAATGTCCTCGGTAGCGGTGGGTCGCCAGCAGCAGTCGCCAAGGAACACCCCCACAGCAAGCTACTGTCGCCCGCGAGGTGTCTCGCGCGACTGAGTTGCTGTCGCATGAGTTGTCAGCACCGCAGCCGCGGGTTCACGCCACGTGCCCAGCCCACGGCTGCGGCCAGGGGCGGGTTTCGAGTTTCTTTCCGCGGCTACAGCCTCACCGCCGGTGACTGGCATAGGGACCCACGCGCGTGGACTCACATCCATAAAAAAAAACAACATAGGTCACCCGTACACTGGCACAAGAGACCCCTAGGTTTGCACACTATTATTGTTGTTGATTTGAAGCTTTCGTGACTGCAGGAATCCATGCTCTTTGGTTCTTTCGGTAAAGTCACGTGGGTAGAAGAATATTAAAAGATCACGACGTTTTCGATCGCAACACAAGCGATCGTCATCAGGTGGGACAACCTACGTGACTTTACCGAAAGAACCAAGAATATGAATCCCTGCAGTCACGAAAGCTTTAAATAAAAATTTGAGCCTCAACAGTTATTTATCAGAAACGAGCTGGCCACAAATGATTGATCAACGAAGTGGATAATTACCACGAGCCAAATGCTTCAAATGCATGTTTCTTAATGTGGATGGAAAACCCCCGGAGGACCCGCAGAAAAATTATCCACGCAAACTCCAAAATATGCAGGCGTCAGGGTCGGGATCGAGCCCACTACCCCGGTGTGCCAGGCGAGGGAGTTAGCATCTCGCCACACAGAACCTTAGACCTGTGTAGACAGAGTTGCTTCTCAAGTTTGGTTGAGTCGATGGTCTCAGCCCTGTCAACAATCACTGATATAGCGAGCCATAGATGTAAATACAGAACCGTAGACTTACATAAAGACCCAGAGAATTACAGAGACCCATATACTCACAGGGTCTGAGTTGTGATTAAACCCATTTGTCAAGTATGGTGAGTTTATGGTATCAGTCCGATCACCGATGACTGTCAATTTTCTAGGATTATTATCCCTAACACTCACACGTTGAGCGTCTCGTGGCCGTGCAATGGATTCTCACGTTGTTGTTTTTGTTGTTGTTGTTGTTTACCTTTCGTATATAACTCAGCCCTATGTATTGCCGTGTCTCACCGGTGGATGCTGCCGATGGCTCATGCCTCATGTGAGGGTCAGCTCCAAAGGTGCTGTCTTTACTCACAGCCTTGCTCTGATGAAGCAGCAGGAAACTCATCACAACTATCCAAGGTGATTTTACATTATCATTGACGTATCAATGTTTGTGTGCCTCCCTTTATTTGGGGTTTCTCTCAATTGCTTGGGTTTTCATCAGGATTTGAAGCCTTTGGGGTTGACATGTATGCAAGACCCATGGATGTGCACATTGTTACAAGACAGCTGCATAGAGTAGAGGCTTTCAGTAGGGCCCTGCTTAGGGTGTGTTATCAATGATCTCCCTATCATCCACCAACCCCACTTCCAATGTGTTGGATTACAGGTGTGTGCCACCAATTATGGATAAATACGTGGTGGTTGGGATTTAAACAATTTGAAGATGGGACGAGGGCAGTGGGTGGGTGGGATTGTGATGGGTAGTGGGCGGGCTAGAAGAGGTAGTGGGTGGGACTGTAATATGGGTAGTGGGTGGGACTAGGACAGGTGGTGGGTGGGACCGGGACAGGTGGTGGGTGGGACTAGGACAAGTGGTGGGTGGGACTAGGATGGTGGTGGGTGGGACTAGGCCAGGTGGTGGGTGGGACCAGGACAGGTGGTGGGTGGGACTAGGACAGGTGGTGGGTGGGACTAGTTCAGGTGGTGGGTGGGACCAGGACAGGTGGTGGGTGGGACTAGGATAGGTAGTGGGTGGGACCAGGACAGGTGGTGGGTGGGACTAGGACAGGTGGTGGGTGGGACCAGGACAGGTGGTGGGTGGGACTAGGATAGGTGGTGGGTGGGACCAGGACAGGTGGTGGGTTGGACTAGGACAGATGGTGGGTGGGACTAGGACAGGTGGTGGGTGGGACTAGGCCAGGTGGTGGGTGGGACCAGGACAGGTGGTGGGTGGGACTAGGACAAGTGGTGGGTGGGACTAGGCCAGGTGGTGGGTGGGACCAGGACAGGTGGTGGGTGGGACTAGGACACGTGGTGGGTGGGACTAGTTCAGGTGGTGGGTGGAACCAGTTCAGGTGGCGGGGTGGGACTTTGGAAAAGGAATGGGAAACAGAATAAATCGAGAAAACAAATGAAAATTGCAGCTGGGTGCCGCGTGAACAGCATTCGTAGCCAGCTAGAAGAGTGGGAGTTGGGTTGCCACCTTATCCTGGATTTCCCAGGATCGTCCTCTCTTTGGGGCAACTGTCCTGAGAAATCTCTACCTCTTCCCCGGGAGATTGTTCGTCCCGTCTTTTGCCAGTTTCGTGATGATAAAAAACACAACACTCGCGACAACAATGCATGTGCGTGTAGTTCTGCCCTTTTCCCTTCTTGATATGTTCTGGGTATTTGCACCTCAGGAGTAGTTAACCCTAGGTGGCAGGCAGCTTTAAGAGTACATAAGGTAAAATTTTAGGGCATTTTGTTGTCTTCAAAGGGCGATTTCAGGTGCCATCCAGTGGCTTTTCACCGCCAGTGGTATTGTGTTCTTAGCGCACATGCTCAATGCATAAGGGGCCGTCCATAAATGACGTTACGCACCTAGGGGGGGTCAGACATTTGTGAAGATGTGTGACGAGGGGGGGGGGGTGAGAAATGTGACGTCACATCAAAATGCGCAACTTTAAATAAATATAGACAACACGTTCCACTTACTTAAATAGACTTTTGAATAACTGTTTCTCCTACAACATCAGAGTTCAGCGCCACATTAAATACGCACTACATTGACAATAGTTTAACACGCATTTGAAGCATGTTTTATATTTTTTGGGGGGGGGGGGGCAGAGCTTTGTGACGTCATATTTGAGGGGGGGTCTGACTTTTTGTGACGCCGTTTGACGAAAGGGGGGGGTCAAAAATCGTCCAAAATCGCGTGACGTCATTTATGGACGGCCCCTAACTGGTGCAGTATTGCGTCATCTGCTCCTCGTCAACCGCCAACCTTCAGACTGTCCCTCCTGCCTCCCTCACACCGTGGTTAGTAGGTGACTGTGACCGAATGATGTCAATTCTAATGACGTAGAAGGGTTACACAATTAACGTTAAGCCCATATACTTTACAGTCAAGTGTATGCTTGTAAAGTATCTACG